AGAACTGGCATAGGAGTGTGTTTGTCTGTGTACTGAAGGACACTGCAACCTGGCCATGGCCTTTCCCATAACCTGCATGGAAGGAGGGCCTCCTTGGACAATCTGCACCCTGCCACTCCAAGCCCAGCCCTTGGCATGGGCAAGGTTGCAGGCTGGCCACTTCACGAGCTGACCATAAATAAGCCTAATGTACCACATAGTCACACAGGGACAAAGCAAGGCCTGGACCTCCAGGAGCAGTAGCAACCGTTCCTCAGCCCCAGCCGCTGGCCTGTGTGGCTCCCCACTCCAAAAATCCCTTTGACTGTATGTATAGAGACATAACACCACACAGCAACCCTGCTCATTTCACTGAAAACAGGCATCAGTTACAAGGGAATGTTCACCACCCTACAGCTTCACATCCTAGATACATAGTTAATAGTTTCTACCAGAGACCACTTTAAAGAAGAGCTGGCACTATTAAGCTGCGTGAGTATTTCTCTCTGAGGTTTTTGTTCAATACCATCTTTAATTTCTATTAACTTTTCAGATAATGGATTTACAAGCATACAAGAAGATGTAGAGTACTGGAAGTTAAATGAAAGGAATTAAAAATTGGAAACTGGAACTTGTAGCTTTCAAGATCAGATGGATTCTGATAGTCATTGGGTCCATTCCCTATCAAATGGATGTTACCAACCCACAGGATATAGTGGCATGCTTTGTATACATTATCTTTCACCTCCCTCAGGTACATACTGCAAGGAAGCTGTGTTCTAAACAACGTATAAACTAACAAAACTAACACTAATCTTTTACATGTTTTGGCACTCAAAGCATAGATAAATCACTGTGTCATAGCCTCACCTATGATACCACTTATAAAATAAATCCAAGCTCAGGAGGAGCACCAGATAACTTGTCCTTTAATTATCTTTTAAAACCTGATGGTTTGTTTCAAAATATGTTTTATTTATTTTATTTACCAGCCTGCCTTGTTTCAAATGGGTACTGTCTGACTGACCTCTAGATACCCTTGCATTTGCTCTGTGATATCCCCAGAATGTCAATGCTTTGATTCTTCATCTTTCATTTCCCAAACATTTCTTATTGGTCACTTCTGGTAGTGGTGGCAGCTGAAGTGGAAGTTTATCTTCTGATAATCTGTACTGCTTTAATGGTTCCCAGCATCCTGAGGATATTTTCCAAGTGTTATGGTGACACCAGCTGAGATCTTGGCAATAGAAAAGTGTTTCACATGTTTATTTTCTAACTTAGTCTCTTGTGGTTTTTTCTGCTTTCCCAAACCTCTGCCTCCCCCTTGATTTCTATGGCTTAACACCTTTTGTTTTTACTGTATTCTTAGTGATCACTTTGCAATATCTTTCTGATTAAAAAGCCTTTGAGAAACCGGAGGGCATTCCCACTATGCATCCAGAAATCTCTTAATAAATTTCTCCAAACCTTCAAATCACATTTGTCTAAAAACTGAGCAAAAATCCCCTCTAAAAGGAACAACAATAGTCATATCTTTTTTATATATTTCTCTGTAAACTAGAGTCTAGGAACTGTAGCACATAAACCTTGTAAAATGATGAGCACGTTTCAAACAGTTCTAATACAAAACATGACACATAAAACAGGTCACTGGTTTTAGCATGTCTCCAAAATAACATATGCTTGGAAATGCTTATCCTTGTAGCATCACTGTCCTCTTTTTTTCCATGAGAAAATGAATCATGCAGAAGCATGCCTGAAAAAGCAAAATTCTCATATAATTTCTATCACTCACTCAGTGTGTTCATGACTTTTATACAGCTGACTGAACATTTTATTATCTCACGTGAAAGAGAAGCTGTGAGTTTGCTCACCTTTGTCACCTGCAGGATCTTTGAAATGCCTCCTCTCCTGTTTCTTCCAAAGAGTACGTTCCCGCATCTCCCAGTCCATTCCCGAGTCCACTGAACATGCAGACATCAATAAGTTCTGGCTAAGTTATCCTACGTAACTCTGAAGAAAAAAGGACAGACTTGCAGATGCTGCAGAAGGTCTTCTTTACTCTCTTTGAAAATTTTGTTTTCTTGGTGGTCTGTCACAGTCAGGTCTCCGGTAGTAAACTGAACAACCTATCCTCCTGGCTCTTCTTTTCTTCTTTTTCTTTTCTGTAAACACATAATCAGGGCTTCAAATCCTTTAGGCATCACAAACTGTATTTCTCTATTGCCCTCTACTGACTGCTGGCTCACGCCGCCTTCCCGGAGAAGTGGCGAGCAACAGATACACGGTACGCGCTCCCCGCCGCCCTCCCCCGGATCGATAATGATACACGATGACCAAAAGTCAACACAAATCATTCTATTTTTTCCTTTGTTACAAAACACCAGGCAAGATTTACAGCCTGCTGGCCAGCCGTGGTAGCCACAAAGCGCTAAACAACAGAAGCGGGAAGCAGTTTGTAACACGGCTCTGCTAACGTGGGCTTTTTTTTTTTTTTTTTTTTTTTTTTTTGGTGAACAAAAGCCAGGAAAAAGTAGAGACGAATGCGTTCTGCCTTGAAATGCGGATGAATTCATCCCACTGATGCCAAAAATACTGTGCCGGGGATCTGAGGGTTGTCTGGTTTTAAGGGTTTGGTCCTGCCAGCACTGGATGCACTGAAATACTGCCTTTTGATGGGCGTTCTGCAGGAAGGGGCTCGTAGAGAGCCATGAATTTGGGGCCATGGTTTTCGGCCATTTCCTCCTTTCTCTAATGCTTTGTTTAGCACATTCAGCACCACTGCCTTTTGATGGGCGTTCTGCAGGAAGGGGCTCGTAGAGAGCCATGAATTTGGGGCCATGGTTTTTGGCCATTTCCTCCTTGTCTCTAATGCTTTGTTTAGCACCTAATATGGGAAAGCCTCATGTGAGGGGACCGGGGATGAGGCACATCGCCCTGTGTGCGGATGGCACTGGGAGTGGCTGGCTGCCCTGCTTTTTGGACAAAGATGATCTATAATGCAAAGAGAATCCGGCAAACTAAGATAAAAAAAGGAATGACCCAGTGTTGTCTCAGGAGCAGAAGAAGAAAAAAGTGTAAAAGCATTTTGGGCAGAATGGAAGACACTGAGGGATAAAAAGCAGGGATAATAAAGAGTGTAAAAGTGAAGGGGTGGGGGGTGAATATAAATGAATCCTTTGCATTGTGTTAGTCACTGCTTAATAAGTACAGCACATGCTGGTTAATCAGGTGGCTCAGGCACTTGTTCTCACAAGAAAAAGTTAATCCACGGTGCTGGTGCAGATGCTCTGGCCCACCTGCACCACTCCAGGGGCAGGGAGGAGTCAGGTCCCAGCTCCAGGCAAAAGAAGAAATCCCTAGCACATTTCCCTTTCTCTAGGCAGAAGCTGGGAAAGTTCTATCTTGCCTCACCATTCTTCCTCCACAAGCAACTTCCCTAGGGAATAAACGTGCTTAAAAAATTATAGACACAGACCCACCCCTCAAAAAAGCATTGGAATTATCTTTGCTTACAGGTGTTCAAAAAGTACTTTCATTTTCCTCGCCAGTATTAATAAATGGGAATACTTCATTTGCCAAAATATCTGTTGACTGATGGACACTGTGTTTGGAATGGATATTACAATCTGCTCTTCCACTCAGAAACGGTAGGAGTTCACTCAAAAATAAGGATCAACAAAGCCAGCAAAAAGGCAACAAAAATATAACATTGAAAGACTAATTGAAAAAATTAGTTTCATTTAAAAAATAGAGTCAGCAGAGGCCCTAATTGTACCTATTATGAACATTTCATTAACAAGTCCAGATTTATTGACTGTGCAGTAAAGCTGTCTTAAAGGAAGCCTTGAAATTCCTTTTTCCCTTTGTTTTTCTATTTTTAAAGCCCTTGGCTACTCCATGTCAGAAAATAAGAAATAATTACATTTATTCAAATTCTGTGATAGACTATCGAAGCCTGCTCAGCTGAATACCTCTCCTAAATGAACACCATTACCAATAGATCAAAGGATAAAAACATCTAGCAAATGAGCAGGGCTGAGGGAATTAATAAAACACACATCAAACGGTAAAAAGCTGAGGGTTTGGTTTTGGGGCTTTTGGTGGGGGGGGGTGCGGAGGAGGTTTTTTGGGGTTTTTTGTCATTTTGGTAGGGGGTTGTTATTTTGGGGGGGGGGTTTGTTGTTTGGTTTTTTGGTTTTTTTTAATGGGAGCACATTTGCAGAGTGATAAAGTCTGCAGTCGCCAAAATCCACGGAAAAGGCACCTCCAATAAAGAGCGTGACAGATGAAGTTCAGCATCAGGCGATTTCTGGAGCTGCTGCTGCAGAACTTTCACCTGACAAGCCCTCACAGAGAAATGTGTGGGGTTTGGAGTTTAGGTGGGGTTTTTTCCGCAGAATCACAAAATTGTTACGGTTTGAAGGGATCTCTGGAAATCATCCAGTCCAGCCCCTGTGCCAAGGCAGGGTCCCCTGGAGCAGGTGCCACAGGAACGCATCCAGGTGGGATTGGAAAGTCTCCAGAGAAAGAGATTCCGTGACCTCTCTGGGCCAGCCGAAGCGCTCTGCCGCCCTCAGCGTAAAGCACCTCTTCCTCACGGCTTTTTCCCTAAGGTTAAAGTTTCCTTTCCTACCGGAAAAACTTTTCACACGGCCGGGGACACAAGCGGCTCCCCGAGGCGGGTATCGCGCTCCCAGCGGGCTCGGCTCCCCCGGCCGCTCCGCCCGCGCCGGCCAGCCCGGAGCCCTCCGGCGGGGCCCGCTGCCCTCCAGCGCCAGCCCCGGCCCTGCCCCGCGCCCCGGGCCCGCCCCAGCCCGGTACCCTGCTGCTGCGGCCGCGGAGCCGCCGGGGCTCGGCCAAGCGCTGCACATCGCCCGCCTTCCCTTCCCGTCTCTTCCGGCGGGGCGGGCGTTCGGCGCCATGGGGCGGCGGTGGCAGCTGGCGGCGGCGGAGCAGCTGGCGGGGACCTGCCCGGGCCAGGCGCGATTCCTGCTGTAAGGAACCGCGGCGGCGCGGGGACGGGCGGTGCGGGAGCCCGGCGGTGAGGCGCGGGATGTCCCCACCCGTGCCGGCGGCCGCGCCCTGACGCTTTCCCTCTCTCCCGCGCAGGTGGATGCTCCGCAACTCCCGAGGCGAGTGAGGGGCCCCGGGCGCAGGCGGTGGAGCCGGGGCCGGAGGAGGGGGCTCCGGAGCCGGGCGCCCCTGAGCCCAGCGCGCTGCAGCGGAGGCCCGTGCCGTGGGAGAGCAGCGGAAGGACAGGAGCGTGGGGATGAATGCCGGCTCGCCCTTTGCCTCCCTTTCCCCCTTGCCCCTGCGCTGCTCCCGCAGGGCCGTGTCTCGGCGCTGCCGGCAGCAGTGGCGAGCTGGCCGGGAAGCAGGGCCAGGTGTCCCTCGGGGGTTCAGGGAGAGGCGCCCGAGTCCAGCTCCGGCAGCAGGAGAGAATGAGGCGCATGCCAGGAGCGAGCCTCTTCTTGGGTCTGAAATTTATCTCAAAGCGTTTCTTCGTTCTAGCCTGAGATCGTGTCATTTTCTCACTCTTAAAACGGGCAAAGAGCTTTACAAGGCATTGCTGACCCTGATCTGGTAGAAAATTGTGCCTATGTGGAGCTCTTTACAGAATTGTAAGATTTTTATGCTAAAGATTTTTGGGAAGGAATTAAATTTTTTCAAGAAAATCTACAGTTACATATTGTGTAAACTTGTGCCATGCATTAGCTTCGTCTGAATTGTGCTCAGCTGAGCACATGCTGGTGCTCAGCTTCCTCTTGTGTTCTAGTGGTATATTAAACACAAAAACATATACCTAGGTAATGTTAAAATTGAAACACACCGTTTTAAAGTTTGCTTATAGAACATAGTTATTTTATCCTTTTGCTTATATTTATCTGTAGGTGATGAACGTGGATTAGAAAGGATATGTCCTTACTGCTTCCAGTTCCTGGTTCCTGACGGCTACCGAGTGCGCCTCAAACCAAAGATGAAAGTGACTCCACAGATAGAGAAGGTTCTTAAACGAGAGGCAAAGAATCATAAGCTTAACATGAAACAGACGAAGCTTTTGAGAAAGTACAGGGAGTCAAGAAGCATTCTGGTAAGGACAGTTATTTGGAACTGGCATGTATATGACATTTCCCTAAATTTCATGTTCCTATTTCAGTGGCAAAAAAAAGAAGATACAGAAACCTTTCTCTTAGAAGAGGAGCCCACACATTTCTTTTTCACAAGCATAAGACTCTTCCTCTCTTTTTTGAAATAACTTCTGTGCATAAATGACATTTTTAAAATCTACCTTCCACACTAGGTAGATCATGAACATAAGAACAGTGAGTTTTTCTTGTCAAAAAAATACCTCATGACTCCATATGTTAGAGAAGCTACACAAACATCTCATTTACTGCCTTTGTTTCAGTTTATCACTTGTTGAGCAAATATGTTTAGACACAAGCTTTACTTGTATTTCACTAGCCTTTCATGGCTTCATCAGATTATTATTGCCATCTGTATTGTATTAATAGAATTTTTTACATTTGTCTGAATATTACTGCTTATAGAAACTCTCTTTAAACTACAGAGGTGATTTCAACAAGTTGATGTTTTTCTTGAGGCCTCAGTTATTTCTCCTAAAAGTACTCAGGAAGGTGACATTTAATTACTATTGGAAGAATAATAGTAAACATTTAACCTATGTTGCCGAGGTATGTACTGTTTTTAAAACAGGTTATGTGAACGGTTGTTGTCATAAATGAGACAGCACCTTATTGTGCCCAGCAGTTGGTGGCACACTTGGGATTTTCTTGGATAAGAGTCTGGTGGTTACAGGAATAAATTTTGTGAAACCAAAAATTATTAAAGAGTCAATTAAAAAATTTAAACTGAGGAATATATCACCAAGAGTTTTGGCTGTCAGAGCAAAATAAGAGGCTTCATCAAGGCACTCTCCCCAAATTGTAGATCGAAGTTGAGCTTCAGAAAGGACATCTGGAAAGGTTCTTCACCCAGAGGGTGGAACAGGCTCCCCAGAGAAGGGGTCACAGCACGAAGGCTGACAGGAGTTCAAGAAGCATTGGGACAACACTCTCAGGCACACGCTGTGATTCTTGGAATGTCCTGTGCTGGGCCAGGAGCTGAAATTTGATGATGCCTGTGGGTCCCTTCCAACTCAAGATGTTCTGTGATCCTTCAAGCGGAAATGTTTGCTTTATTTTTCTGAGTTGAGGGTGCATTAAGAACTGTCCCTTTAAGCAACTGGTGAACAGAGCAGTGTCCTATGAAATGATGATGGGCTCTTAGACTTATTCTGTAGCTGGAGAGTGTTTGTTAGGGACACACTGTGCATTCATATGAGTAGTTTAAAATTCAGTTTAAATAGGTCTAGCTTAAACTATGGGTAATATTTTGATCTTGGTATGTAATTACAGTTTGCTGTACTTGTGTTTTGTTCAGTTTGAATTTGTCCTGTGGATTATGATTTAAGTGTTTCTTGTCTTAAGTCTTTAAAAATGCTGTCAGCAATTAGCAGCTTTCTAAATTAGCAATGTAGATCCCTGTAATCTAATACCTGAGACTTGTGCAAATGAAAATTCCAGTGTGGTTGGAAATTAATGCGAGCAATAATGTGACAGGTTGAACCTCTGAGAACTTTCTTAGCAAGTAGAACTTGATTTTAGATTGCTTCTGCCATAAAAAGGTATGTAACACAGGGACTGTTTCAAGGCTTTAAAAATTTTTGGAGTTAACTGCTGATCCATTTCAGGGAATGGAAATTAGCTATGAAGTGCTATGATTAATTCAGTAATTCCTTCATTGTAAAGTGGTCACCTCCATTTATATTCCACACAGTGCTAAGTTACCATGAAATGCTGAGTTTTTTTCCCACCTGAATTTAATTTAGAAGAACTAAAAATACGTCAATACCTGAGCACTAAAATAGTTAATGCTATTTCTTTTTTCTTTTAGTTTGTTAGGCTGACAAAATATAATGTCTAGAGGAAGTCAAAACACTTAACTAAAAATGTTTCATTTCAGCATCTCTAAATGTAATTTTTAATAAACTATCTGAATTTACACACTCTGAAATGAAGAACAATTTGGTGTAGATGTTTTCAAAACTGCTTAGACATTTTTGTGACAGTCTTTTGAGTATGTTATTTTTAACCAGAAGCGTCATGTAACTGTTTTTCTGTCAGTCTAATTGGTGCCTCAGAAAGCTGTCTGGCTGTATTACTTTCATATCTCTTAGTATGAGTAGTTGCCATGGCAGTAAGGGATATCAGGAATGCCTGACAGTCTCTGACTGGGTGATGTGATCAGTTCTGGTGCACCTCTCAGCCTGGTGTGCTGCTGAAGTTCCCTGCAGCCTAGAGGTACAGGAGAGGAGAGGGAGAGGGAGAGGAGAGGAGAGGAGAGGAGAGGGAGAAGGAGAGGGAGAGGGAGAGGGAGAGGAGAGAGGAGAAAGTGCCCTTTGTTTAGAACACCCTCCTTATTGTAGTAAATACTTTTTGCCCTAATACAAAACCTTGTCTTTGTTCACTGAGACTTGCTGTTTTTAGTAAAATGGATGACTGGGTTTGAGAGTTTTGAGTATTTTATCCCAAGATTCCCTGAAAAGTGTGCAATATAACTTCATTGGGGGTAAAATATGCTAATGACTAGATGGCACAGAATGTCACATTTTTTAGCCAAATTCCCAATGTATAGGAGTACTCCAGTATACTCAGTATATCTTGTACACTCAAAATATGATTTGCCCAGTTTAGGTGCTGTTTCATGTCTTGACAGGGATGTTCTCTGTATTGCACTGTACAAATTCAGCAGTATGGGTCTCCGGAAATTAGTTTGTAGGGAATTGGAGCAATTTCTAGATAAACCCAAAGGACATGTTTGGCTTGAGAAGCCTGAATTAAAATATGAGTTACAAAATGTATCTTTGTACTTAGTATCTCATGTTTCACTTAAGCAAATATTTAATTTGTGTCGTGGTATTTGGAGAACAGTTTGGGTAATTCTTCTAATGGCTTTATAACATAAAGGTTGAAAGACTGAAAGACAGCTTGATAATTCCTTTCTTCTCTCCACAGCTAGTTACTTGCAAATCTTGCAACAAAACAACAAGATACTATGGTAAAAGCAGGGATTTTCTGGCAGCCAAAACACAAAATTGTGGCACTCCAGATATCAAATCTAGCCTGAAGACACCCGGTGTAAAAATTCAGTCTGCAAAGAAAATGACACCTGTAAGCTGCAGTAGGTTGGGATCTAAAGGGAACACTCCCTCATCACTTTCCAGGTAGCTTTTTCTTTCCTATTTAAAACAGACCTTTGCCAAGTAGAGTGTATTAAATCTTGTTGATTTTACATCAGTCTTGTAATAAAATTTAAATTGATAACTTAGTGTATTTCTCAATGGGTATGGTTGAGGAGATGAATTTTAACTTTCCAACTGTTAAAATCAAAGATTCTCATGAAAAGCAAAGAATGCCCAGTTACATTTGTGTCTTTAATGCAAAATGTCTGTCCTAAAATTTGCATGACAAACAATTCTGAGTGCTCACCTGCACATAAAAATACACTATTTCTCTTGGATATTTTTCACTCAAATTATATATGTGTGCTTTCACAGTTACTTTATGTTAATTCTGATTTCTCCCCATTAAGACATTTGAATCTTTTGTTTTTCAGGACACGTGAATCTGGACAGACAACAACCAACTCTGCTTCCAAGACTCCCCGAAATTCCAAATTTCACTTTTCTAAGCTAAAACGGATGCTTGACCTAGAAGAAAGAGAGAAAAACCAGAAGGCAGATTTCAAAACCTTCTTGACTTTACTTTAGTTATATATTATTTCAAAGTAATAAAGATTACAGCAATAAATATTGCTCCAGTTTTAGTAAATCAACAAAGTGATTTCTTTAAAACTCAGGCTAACATGCGTCTGTGTGGAAGCATAGACCTTGTTTTTTAGAAGGAAGGTCTCTTTCTGAGGGGAGTGATGGTCTGCCAGAGGGAGATGTAAAGATAGCCAGTTTAATATGCCTGGGAATCTTGAACATGTTTTGCAGTTTCTGATGCCCCAAGAATTAAAAGCTAGGAGGATTTATCTTTGAGGAGGCTGATGATGACCCCATCAGGACCGTTTAATTGTCAAGATTAAAGATTTTCAATTTATGTTTGGCACAGAGATGAGAGGGGAAAGTATAAAGTCACTGTTCAGGACTGAAGTTACAGCTTGTCCTGCATACAGCCTGCAGTGAAAGTTCTGCACGTGATGCTTCATATTCCCCCCTGAAAAATAGAGCCAATTAGTTAAAAGCATTTACTTTCTTGGATTTAAAGGTCTGTATTTCCCTTTTCTTTTGCTAGTTTAACGAATAGTTTACTTTAAGTGCCTTCAGACTCAGTGAACACTGCTTATGAAATAGGACCAGCAAATAACTTGGTGGACTAGGAAGCAGTCCAGGGCAGGGGAGACTAGTTTGTTGTAAACTGTACTTAAGAGTCTCAGAGATTGGCATGTAACCTTTTTATATCTCCTGTATACTTGCACAATAACTGAAGGATGCACTGCTCATTGTTTCCTATGTACATGTAGGATAAAATGAACTGCCACTCTTTAACCAAAATACAGACCTTGGAGTGTTGCCTTTTCCAGTGTAGAACTTGGCATTAATTGACCTGTTGCTGTATTTACAATCCAGTCCTCTATTTGGTTGGTGGAAAATGTTCGTTGCACAGAAGTATATGAAAATACAAATTTTGCAATAAATTTTCTTATTAAAAGTACACACATTAGGTACTGCTGTGCTTCCAGTGAGGCCAATGTGAAACCTGCACAGCCATCTGCTGTGTTTTAAGGTGCCCCAGCGTTAATGTATTCATGAGATCCAAGCACGTTTCCCCATTGTCCCTGTTTACAGTGCTTCTTGCACAACATCTTGTGGTCTCAGGAGTGCATTCTTTTTGGATAAAACTACAGAGAAGGAATAAAAGACATGAAGGGGGGAGTATAACCAGTGTGCAGAGAAAGCTAATGGGTGATCTGTCCATAGGATCACAGGAGAGCTTGTCTAAACTATGCATTTCCAAAAATATTTTGTGGGTGGTAGGCACTGAGCTACAGGCATTCTGCACACCAAGTGTGTTACCTTTGCAGTACACTTTGTTAACAGAGATAGAGCCTTGTCATGCTCCAAACAACGTCTTTTTTTTTCTTTGGAATTACCAGAGTTGTCAGATACATCTAGATGTGTTGTTAAAAGGGATTGTTACTGTGAGCTATTAGACTTTATTCTGGGAACAAAGGGAAAGAAGTCATTCAGTACGTGCCTTTTCTTGTTTTAAAAGTGTGTTTCAAAATGCTGGGTAGAAATAATCCCCAGTGTTTTTACATTACTCCTAAGCATTTAATATAGAGTGTTTTTTCTGTTAGCTGGACTTTCACAGAATCAGTGTATTGAAAGACAGACACACATATGTACAAACCTGTCTCTATACTTAGTGTATGTAGGTATATACATACCCACACATCAGAGGCTTATATGCAGACATGTACTACACACATACACGCACGTCATGCGCTCTTCCCTTCAGGACACATTACCTTCCTGTACTTGCTGAAACACTGAAGGCTGTGGCTGTGAGAGACGTGCTGAGCTCCCCCCCAAGCCACTGCCAGGCCACATTACTGGCTTGTGTTTGAAGAGCTGGAAGAACAACTCAAGAGAGGAAATGCCTTCACTGATTTCAGAGAGACTTTGTAAAGTAAGAGCAAGGTCTTCATTAAGCATACAGCCCTGCAAAGAGGCATTTGATTAGAGACTGAGAGTTATTTCCCAGCTCACACAAATTCTACTGGGCAATGGTATGTGTATCACTGGCAGTACTTGTACCACACTGAAAATGTTACAAAATGTGTTTTAAAATAACCAGCTCAACTAAATTTAGGGTTCTAGAGATAGAACCTCAGACCCTTTAATACACTGATTTCTCACTAAAAACTGTCACACAAAATACAGGGAATAATAAACCTTGAAATTAGTATCAAGTATTTCCTCAGCATCACCACTGAGATGAGATCTTGGCTGCCTCCTGAGTACAGGGAGCAGTTGACATTAAAGCCATTTCCCACCATGAGACTGAGAAGGCAAGCAGGCAACAATAATTTTCAAAGATGTTTTTACAACAATGTTTTATTAAATATGAAAGAGCGTACATACAGGTGTAATTCTGAGGACATAAATTACACAAGGATTACAGGTTCTGTCAGAAAAGCACAATAATGAAACATTACATTTCAAACTCTTCTTGTTAGCTTTTTAACAAATAAGTCTATTTCTTTTGCAAACAAGTAATGAGTGCTATTGAACTTTTGCAAATTCCCACAAAAACATCATGCTTAGTAGGATACTTCAACTATTGTAAATATGAAGTCAGAATTAGATTCCTAAATAACACGATGGAAGAGATTTACTACTTAATCAAGATAAATGACACACTGAAATAGGAGCCGAGACAAAATTGGTCATTCATCAGGAAAAAATTCCACTTCAGACACTATGTTTGAGTCTGCTTTCTTTACTTGCAGGAATAATCACTGTGATTAAATGTAATGAGCAGATAAACTGGCCTAAATATTTGTAAATCTAACCATCAAATTTTAGACATGCTGGTTGTCACTGATTTTCCCACTGAAAAAACCCCACACCCACAGATCTATTTCCTTACATTTCAAAAGGCTCTTCTGCAGAGGGCCAACCAAGCCTATGTATGATTTCCACGTCCTCCATGGTTCATCTGCACTGCTGGCTACTGTATCCTACATATGTACATCCCACCTATGTGTTCAGGGTCATCTCTGAAGTACCAGACTGAGTTACCACTGAGATGTGAGAGCAAAACTAGTCTGTGCAAGTTTTAACACAATGTTTTTTTAAAACTTCAGGTAAGCAGGAATGTAATTTCATCATAATGAAAGCTCTCAGTTTGACACTCAGAAGACTACTCGGATAAAATACATAATAAGCATGTGGTTTGGGTTGTGTTGCTAGGGATTAACAGAGGTGCTTTAATATATTAATACAAACATTAACAGAGTGAATCAGACAAGCTGGTATTACTGCAGGCTGTAGTCTAATTTCCAAAAGAAGTCATGAAACATAATTTCTAAGAATGGCAATTTTTGCAACTAAGGACTTCACATTTATTTTTAAAACCACAAAAGTGGGGTAGTATTCCTGATATCTTTCAAAACATTCTGCAAAAAACACAGTTTGAGCCTGCAAACACTAGAATATACATACAAGCAGTCCCAGTGACCTCCAAGGTAAGCATTCTCGTATGGCAAAGTGTTGCAGGAATATCTTTGCTTTTTTTCAGAGAATGCTTAATAAAAGTGCAATATAGTGAAGCAAATAATCTAATTATTATGCCTTTATTATTAGATGAAAAATATTCAGATATTTTATAATTGTGCCTTTTGTAGGGCAGGCATTCTGCATTGCCTAGAGCCAGACCACAATAGAAGAGGTAGGCAGGGCATGCCCATACATTTTCTTTCCCAGGATGGCAACACCCCAAAGCAGTTCTGTGGTACAACCCCACCTACAGATAAAACATTGTGCTGCCCAGTCTCACAGTTATTTCTGTTTTGACAGAAGCTGACATGTGGATTGCTTTACCTTTCCACCCAGGCATGTTCTCCCTTTTGTCTCCTCGGCACCCTACCCTTCCCCACCCAGCCTCTTTTCTTCCTGAGATGTCAGAAGTACGTACATTAAGCTTTGGAACCTGAGAATCTGGAGGTATTTTTTGACACTACAGGGCTGCATCTGTACTGTACCATGCTATCTCCTGCTATACTATTACAGTTACAGTATAAATCTCCTAACTACTTGATACCCAATGCCTTTCCCATATAAATTAAAAAAACCCCAGCGTACCATTCAGCCACTAATATATGACACTTGCTCTAAGAGTGACCTTAGCCTTTCACAAGCACTCTTTTCCAAACAAATATTGAGGGATCATTTCCAAAACCCCAGCTATGAAAAACTCCTTGAAGTAAACAATTTCACAGTAAAATAAGGAAAAATATATCTAGAAAATAACACTCTCTCAAAATTAAAACTTATGTACAGCAAGAAGAAGTTGAGGCTTTTTCCTCACACTTTTATCAGTTCTACATTACCTATAGATAAGCAATGTTATCACTAGGAGTTATGAATAGGAAAAACAAATCCAGTGAAGTTAGTGTCATGGTTTTTTTGAAACCTTTGAGAGATCAAGAAAATTCAGCAGTCAACTTTATTATTATAACTATAATCAATTCAGGCAGCAAAAGATTGTTTAAGCTTAATTCCCTACGATTGTGAGTATCCAATATAGATCTTTCAGCGCAGTCTAATAAGCCTTGTCACTGCACTTATAATCACCTCTGGGCAAAAATTAAGTTTTCTATGGATGGAATTCAACCATGAACTCACTATTTATGCCTCTTGTTTTAGAATTCCTAATAGATTAAGCTAGTTTCATATTTACCACAAATTTGGTGCTATTCTTTAGCAAAACTGAGCTTTAACTGCAACTGCAATGCACATACATGTGTGTAAGAATTTATGTGATGAGTTTAACATACTAGAACAGAAATATTTAAAACATTAATATTGTATCAGAACATTTTCTTATCAACAATCTACACTGAAAAGACATCAGTAAGTGTTATTCAATTTTGCATATTACACTTAAACTAAAGAAACTAATCCTCTGGATTCAATATAGTCAGCTTTTTTTTTTCCTATGGAATGGAAAATTGCCACTCAAAACCTTGAAATTTTTGGACCTGTAGTGAGCCCTGATAACTATTTTGTGCACTCCTA